GCCAAGTTGATGTACAAGTTGGTCCTTGCAGGATGGTCCCATGACATCTGCTGGAAGACCAAGGAAGGAAGGAGGCAGAAAACCACCCAGGCTGAGCCCCATCATCTATCAGGTACAATGTAGATTGGTCATACAACAACCAACCTTCCATGATTTATTGCCAGGGTGCATCTATGGTGACATGCAAACTTGTCCATTATTATATTCCACAGACAGGAAGTTTTCTTCTCTGCCCCTGTTGCCAACAATCTATTCAACATATACAAACACCCTATTAAATGATCAAAGCTGTGCTTCAGATTTTTGTCAACGTAACTGTGCCAAGCAGCAGCCAAACTCAAACAGAGATGGTTATCTAGGTCAAATAAGAGACTCTGATTGTGTTCTACATGCTTATAAACTTGTAATTTGAATAAGCTGATTTGGGGGCTAAGCAAAGATTGCCCGTTTGTTACTGCAGGTGTTCCCAGTTGCACAGCAAGAGCAGCTAGCCACAATTAGGGATAGTTAAACTGAAGAGCACCTTCCCCAACTAAACTGGGGAAGGAGCTCTTTAAATGGAGCAAGGCCTCTGCAGTAAAAGGAAGAGGTGGGACAAAGCAGAAGATAAAAGCCTGAATACTAGCCGTTCACTGTACGATGAAAAGGTCCAGGAGAAATAGCTGGAAGGAGCAACCAAAAGGAGACAAAGTCCAGAAGGTAAAAAGTGGGTAAAGGGAAGGGAGAAAGACTAAGACAACTCTTTTGAAAGCCAATAAGCAGAAGCAGGGATGGTAGCTTGAAAACATAGGATAGACCTAGTGCAGTTGGTTATGAATATATGAGAAGAGATGGACAAGAAAAGACTTACTTAATTCTGCAGTAAGCTCAACGTAATTCTGACTTTACATTTATTTATATATTATTTATTTATTTATTAAAACATTTTTATGCTGCCCCATTTGCCGAAGCCTCGGGGCGGCTTACAACAATAAGTTAAATAATCATAATCATAAATTAAAAATATAAACATTAGAATAAAATATAAACATACAACATAAAATAAGCCGCCCTGGCCAGATAAAATTCAATAATTAAAAATCAATAATATTAACATTTAAAATGCTGCTTAAATAAAAAGGTCTTCGCCTGGCGCCAAAAAACAAATAACGACGGCGCCAGGCGGACCTCTCTGGGGAGCGCATTCCATAACATTCCATAACATATATGTATATCATCATTGCACAAACATTCTTTCTGAGCCTGCAGCCACATGTCTTTATTGTTCTATGTAAATTTATCCTAACTTTGCAGTTATTTACCCAAGCTCTTCCATTTCTGGTTGATCCTGTCAATATTAGCAATATTACATTATAGTTATTCAGTATGATCTTACCTTGTTCCATGGACCCTTATGACCCTGCAAGTACTTACCTCTATCTCCCTGCAAGCATCCCTCTTAGTCTTACAACTGCCTACCTTTTTCACTCTGTGTCCTACTGACACTTACCAGTATCACACCAGAGATCTTGCAGCTTATTCACTGCTTACTATAATTCCTAAGAAGCACATGTGATCCTCTGTTGTGACAATGATTTGAGAGGAGAATAAGAGAAATGGAAGCCCACTCATCCCCTGGCGGAGGGCATGCACCTTTTAACAATGGTTGTAACCAACTCTACATTGCTTTACTGATAAGTGCAGTTGTGATAGGACTTGTATGCTCTTTCACTCCAAGTGTAATGCTGTTGTAACAGAGTGTATACCATTGCTTGATTGTTACAGACTATTTTTTATACAACTCACTGCTCATGGTTTTAGGTAAAATACCCTTTACAATGACACAATTGAAGTCAGTCTTTATTTCAACCTTTTCCAAAATGTTTACATTTAAAAGATAAGTATCTCAAAAACTTGCTGGACACCTCAAACTTGTTGCAATACATGCTGATTAGCAAAGTAGTCATTAACCTTGACAGCTCATAAACAAGCCAAGGCAAACAAATTCTCATACAAAGTCTAGAGGAAAAACAGTTTGGCCTCTTGCGGAATGCTTAAGTTCTTGCTCTGACATGGGCTCCCAAAACAGATTAATGTGGTGGCTGTTTGGAACTGAAATGATTCCTGCAATGCAGGAAACAGTAGAACCAGTAGTAAATTTAAATATGTTGATTCCTACATCCTACTTATTGTAACTTGATGTTTTATTTATTTATTTTATTTATTAAAACATTTTTATGCCGCCCCATTCGCCGAAGCCTCGGGGCGGCTTACAACATAGATAAAACAAGTTAAAATCCATATAAAATAATCTTGATTAAAACTCACATTATAAAACTCACATTGATGTTATTAATATAATTTTGAAGACTACTGAACAAATTTAGTAATAATGAAATTAGGGGAGGTTCTCTTATGGATCAATAACTGGTTAATGAACAGAAAGCAGAGAGTAGGAATAAATAGTAAATTCTGCAATAGAGGACTATAAACAGTGGTTTCTCATTGAGATTCTGTACTAGAACCAATTCTTTCCAATTTATAAATGATCTGGAATTAGGAGAGAGAAGTAAAGTGGCCAAGTTTGCTGATGATATCAAATGAAAGGGACATCTCCAAACTAGGAGATTAAGCATCAAAGTGGCAAACATACATTACTTTACACTTATGTTGAGCTAGGGTTTTCCCCCCTGTTGTAATTCAAGTTTAAGCTAGCAGTGACTGAACAAGAAAGGATCTTGGGCCTGTGGGTAAACAGCTTGATGAAAACATCAAGCCATGTAAAAGGCAAACTCCATGTTAGAGATCATTATAAAAGGAATTAAAAATAATACACTTACATGTTCTTTATAAGGATAGTATGGTTCTGCTCACTGTTTCTAAAGGAGTTGGAAAAGTGCATAAAAGGGCAAATAAATGATTTCCTTATGAGGAGAGCTTGGAACAGTTGTTTAGCTTAGAAAAAGGCTGAATAAGAAGAGTTACAACAGATGTGTTCAAGATCATGCATGATATGGAAAAATAGAGGAGTCATTTTTCTCCCTCTAATACTAGAAGCCAGGGTCATCCCATCAAGCTGATTGGGGGAGATTCAGGCCAGATACTACTTCGCTCAATACATTGTTAAGCTATGGATTTCAGTGACACAAGAAGTAGTGATGGCCACAAAGGTGGATGGCTTTAACAGAGGACTGAACCAATTCTGGAGAGGACCTTCTCTGATGACTGAATGTTGTCTCCACTGTCAGAGGCAGTGTGCCCAGGTACACCAGTTGCTGGGACCTTGGGCATGTTGCACTCTTATCCTGCTTGTGGGATTCTGTGTAGGCAACTGGTATGCCATTGTGAAATGGACAGATCAATGGTCTGATCCAGCATGCTTTTCTTCTGTTCTTATGAGGTAAAAGTTTAGTTTCGGTAGAAGATGAAGACTGCATCTGCCATCCCACACATACAAACTAGGGAGGAAGCCCCAGTGATTATAGTGTAGGGTGATAGAACATGTGTTCAACACTTTGGCCTTAACATTAACATTTATCAAGTAATTTTGGTTCCTTTGGAGGGACAGCTAGGAGGGTTAGAAGGAGTAGTTCCTCCTGCAGCAGATTAGAGACCACATACATCCCATTTACTTCTGAAATGTCCATGGCCATTAAATCCACCACCAGCTATTTCTGGCAGCAATACCATTTGGAAGACCTCCTGGCCTCAAACAGGGCATTTTGGAGATAGGTTGGAACTGGATGCAGGGAGAACTTGATTGGACCTCTAACTTGTTGCTCTGGCATAGGAAATTACCCCTCTTCATTAGCAGCAATGTTGAGCAAGTTTAAAAATTGCTAGGTGGAAACCTGAGCTCACACAACTCCCACCCCAACCAGTACAAGCCAGAGTAGCTCTGGAAACAGTGCATCCTGAGAACTGCTTGCTTGCTGTAGCATAAGCAGCTCTTATGTAGTGACTTAGCACTGGTCCAGCAAAGAAAGCAAGTTAGGATCAATAGACATTTATTTTAAATCCCTACCTGATGGCTGTTTAGTCTTTATTTTTACTCTACTGTAGGCCCAAGCGGAGACTCCTGTGAGTCCCTTGGACAGCAAGGCAATCAAACCGGTCAGTCCTAGAGGAGATCAACCCTGACTGCTCTTTAGAAGGCCAGATCCTGAAGATGAAACTCAGATATTTTGGCCACCTAATGAGAAGGACTCCCTGGAGAAGAGCCCAGTGCTGAGAACAATAGATGGCAAAAGAAGAAGGGGACAGCAGAGAATGAGGTGGCTAGATGGAGTCACTGAAGCAGTTGGTGTGAGCTTGGGTGGACTCCGGGGGATGGAGGACAAAGGCCTGGAGGAATGTTGTCCATGGGGTCGCGATGGGTCGGACACGACTTCGCGACTAACAGCAAGGCCCAAGTGATTCGACTCAGAACTACCAAAGTCTCACCAGGAAGGTCCCAATTCGGATCTGCCCCGCGCACGCACGCACCCAACCTTCCCCTACAGTGAAAAGGGTGGCGGAACGGAGTTCTAAGTAAGGAATCTCTATTGACCCTTAAATTCCCAGTATGCATGTAGAGAATCACTGATCACAATTTCTGCGCTAAAAATGCAGAAACTGCAGTAATGAAAATAAATTATAATGGTAATAATTCCGGCATCGCTTGTTCCGCACGTAGGCAGCCAATCCCTTTTTGTTTTACGGGAGACATTACATGCCAACCCAAAATAACCTATGGTGTAAGGAAATTCCGGTACCGCAAGCGCCCACACCTCTAAAAGTCCAGAAACCTCTCGTCGTTTTCCTGAGCTACCGTCCTATCCGCTCCACGCTTAGCTCAGGCCGTTTCCTGATTGGCTAAAACGAAGAAGGGCGAAGGAGGTGAGGAAGAACGAGGAAGACAATCGAATAGCAACTGCCTGCGTCCACGTGACAGCGCGCGCTCCGATTAGTCCGCGCCGCCTTCCAATCAGCGTCGCGGTGTTGGATTCAAATTGCGTCGGGCGGTGGGCTGGCCCTAGGCATTTCAGTTAGCTGGAGGCGGGCGGCGAGTGGGTGGCTTCGCTACGAGCAGAGGAGTCTGTGGTCGCCGCCATCGTCGCCACCTTTGTAATGGCCCACAAGCAGATCTACTATTCGGACAAGTACTTCGACGAGAACTACGAGTACCGGTGCGAGCGTAGACAGGAGGACGGGGGGAAGGCTGCGTCTTCTAGTCTATTGTGGAGGGCGGGAAGCTGAAGGGAGGGCTACCTCTTTTGCCTCCCTTTCCCTGCCGCTCGTCTTTCTGTTACCGCGCCCTTTCCTTTCGCCGAGCCCCTCAGAAGGCGCCGGGCCGTTTATTCGGTGCGACTTTCTCCTTTCCTGACCACCGGGTGAAAGCAGGCCAAACCGTCCGCGGGAAGCTCGGCGTACGGGGTTGGAGGGGCTGAGACAAAGAGCCGGGCAGGGCGAGGCCGGAGCCGAGTTGCTTCGAACGCAGGGCAGGAGTCGGAAGATGGCCATGGGGCAAACCGCCGACACGGCGCCGTCGAGTTTAAAATGGACGCTATTTGCCGAACTGCTCCCTTCCGCCTCTAAACTCCTGCGAAGGAGCGGAGCGACCCAAAACGCAAGCGCTTGTATTTTTCGTAATTTGAACATGTGGATTTTATCCTGTTGCTTTTCCAAGGCAGCGTTTAGCAACTCGTACGTTCCTGATGTGCTGCGCTTCAACTCCCATCAGGCCTGGCTAGTTTGCTCAATAGTGAGCAGTGCTGGGGGTTGTACTCCAAAATATCTGGAGGGCACATGGTTAAAATGAAGTCGGCTAAAATGAAGGACTAGGGTCACATTTTCCCTATCATCTAATTTGTGCTCCATTTTACCCTGGCTCCAATCCTTTGAGGAAGTTAGGCTAAGAAATAGCCGCTGGCCCAAATCTCTACATTGAGCTTTGTTGGTGACTAGATTTGTGCCTGGGTCTCCTGGGAGAAAGTGAATGGTATTGAATCACACTGGCAATATTAATGCGCTTTTGGATATGTACTTTGAGGCAACTGCATTTTTAAATCATTTCTCTGTGCATTGTGAGTAGCATGATATAGTAAACTTGATTCACAATATGCCTGTTAATCTGACTGAATAAACAACCATTTACGTTTACTGGCATGGAGACAAATTATATGTGTGGGCTTGGAATCTAAAAATATTTTTGGTAATGCCCTAACAAAGCATCCAAATACTGTATTGTCAGTGCAGTACTGTCAACTTGTTGATTCCATGTACAGATCAGTGATGAGGTTTTTTTTAAAAAAAAAAATGAAAAATGGTTATCTGTATGTGCTAAAGGTCTTCCAAATGTTATTGAGTCTTGATTAAACACTTAAGATTAAGATATTGAGAAATGTGATGCTACATAAATGTGACTTAATGTACTTTCAACCCTTGGTAGGCATGTGATGTTGCCAAGAGAGCTCTCCAAGCAAGTGCCCAAAACTCATCTAATGACTGAAGAAGAATGGCGAAGGCTTGGTGTTCAGCAGAGTCTTGGCTGGGTCCACTACATGATTCATGAACCAGGTCAAAATGAATATCTCTGCTTGGCGAGCTCTTAAAGAAACATTTTCCATAGAGCAGGGGTGAGCAATGTGTTGCCCGCCAAATGTTTTGGACTGCAGTTTATATTAGCGGTGCTGACTAGGAACTGTAGTCCCACACATCTAAATAATTAGTGTTATAGAGCAAGACTATAACATTGCCCTTCATGATGTCTTGATATGGGAAAGGAATGAAGACGAAGTATTTCCACTGGAAATACATCTGTTAAGATTAGGTGCATTGAAATTGACTCATTTAACTTACATTTAAAAGATTAAATTCTACCTCAGTTATAGCTGTAGAATTGCCTGCCTTGAGCTATTGTTTGACAGAACACAGTGTGAAGAAGCTTGAGAAACTACCTGTTTCTTTTAAAATGTCATTGACCTCATATAGAATCACCATTCATTAGCTTAGTCTTCTCCAACTTGGAACCATTCTGATACTTTAGACTACAGCTTCAGAATTCTTGACCTCTGACTGGACCAGAAGGGAGCTGAAGCCAGAAACTACTTCACTGGGAAAGGCTGCTGTAGTGTCTGGTCCTGTCATATGGCTGAGCACCACAGTATGAAGTCTTTTCTTCCTCCCAGAATCCTCTGTGTCAGAATTGGGAGGAAATCACTTCCATTCACTAAGTCTGCTAGTCTCAGTTGGAAATGTGTTCATATTTCACTTTCACAAGCTGCATTTTTCCATATGACTTGGCAGACACTAAATGTAAGACAAAAGTTGAATCTGGATAGTGGATTTTTATTCACATCTGCAAGAATTAAAAAATGAGTCTTGGCTATTGGTTGGTTTTTGTTTTGGACAAATAAGTTCTGGAACCTCTTCATGATAACATAGGATATTGAGATTATCTTATTGTCCTCTGTCTCTTATCTGAGTAACCTAAGGTTTGATTGTGTGCTTTAGGCTTATTCACTAAGTGCCAGACCACTTGTTCATGCCACATGGTTTAAGAGTTAAGAGACAGCTAATCTGATCAAGGGAGTAAGTCCCTTATGTGGAAAGGTTATAACAGCTAAAATTGCTTAGCTTAGGAAGAGTGAGTACAGGGAAATATGACAGATACTCAGTCAGACATGATGTAGAGAAGTAAACAATTATCTCTGTATAATAAATCCTATACTAGTCAGGAGTCATCCCATGAGGCTAATAGTTAAGAGTTGGGACAGATGAAAGGAAATACTTCACATCATGCATACTTAAACTGTGGAGTTCACCTCCATGAGAAACGGGATCATCAGTTAGGACAGTTTTAAAAGAAGACTGGACACATTCATGGAGAAGACTGCCAATAGCTATTGGTCTTGATGGCTTTGTCCCTCACATGGTATGCCTATGTATAGCATTTGCTAAGACATTTGGGCAGGAGTGTTCTTTTCATAGACTGTTTATGGGATCCTATGGAAGCAGCTGCTTTGCCAGTGTGTGAGTATAATGCTGAACTAGATAGACCAATTGTCTGATTCAGCATAGCTCTTCTGTTGGCCATGGCCTTCTGTTTTTAAGGGTGATCAGGGGAATCCAAGCTTAACTACCTGGCAGTTTCTTCTCTGAAGCAGAAAGCTATGGATTTGAGAGTCATAAGAACGTATGAAAATTTCAAATTCAGGACTGAGGAGTGGTAGCAGTGTTAGTATGCAAAGAACAAGGTGGTGCTACTTGGTTTTGGGTATGTAGGTAAATACTATCAAAATAGAGCTATAAACAATTTTTTTTTCTTCACAGAACCACACATTCTCCTTTTTAGAAGACCGCTTCCAAAAGGCCAACAGAAATGAATAACTTGTCTACACTTCAGAAACTTTATGTATAAATGTATATATGTTGGTAGTATTCAGTGAATACTTGAGAAAATGTACAAATAAGTCTATCTGTGCATGAGCTGTATTATTCACAGCAACAGAGCTCAGTAAAATGCAAGTAGGCTGCTATGGTCTTCAACTTTTGCTTACTATTAACAAGTGCCTATTTGATCTTGTCAATTTTGTTCAATAAAGTTTACATTTTACATGTAACGTGTTGATTATAACATCTTAGATCTATGGCTAGAGTTCTTAGTAATGTACCTTCCAACAACTGTTGGAGCAATTCATCCTGTGGGTTTACCATTATTGAAATAGGTCTGAAGAAATAAACCTGTTTTAATGTTAATTTATTTGTATGCATTTCCTGGCTTTAATTTACTACTGTCCGTGTAGTACTGTATAAGAAAAGCTATATATTGATCCTTTGTGCAGTACTATAAAATAGTCAATGGGCAGAGCAATTCCATGCTTGCTAGACAGCATCTAGAGGATCTTGGGAATTTTTTGCTTTCCCAGATCTGAGGTTGGAAAAGAACATTGACGTCAGATACAGGGATCCCTCCCACTGCTGCAAATGACATGGAATTGTTCAGCGGCACAGTGAGGAGACTGATGCTACCAAGATAAAATCCTGGGTACCTCAGCTTCTCTCCCCCCCCCCCCCACCTTGAAGTTCTACAGTTAGTTGGCCAAAACTGGCTGTCTGGGCATTTTGCAGAGCATGAGAAGCAGCTTTAGTCTTGTGTGCCTTCCAGATAAGATGCCCATAATCTTCAAAGGGCTACAGGCATCCATGTTGGAGGCACCCTAAAACTAGGAAGTTGCATTGAACTAGTTCTAATTTATTGCCTATTGTAAGCAACTAAATCTGGGATATATTGGAGGTAGCCCAATTATATCATGGATAAGTTCGATACTAGAAGGTAAGCCAGATCAAATTAGTTTAAGAACTAATTGGCATTATCAATGGCTTTGTTGATAGGCAGTTACAGGCAATGCGATACTACGAAGGGCCTCATGTATAAACTACCTCTTAGCTCTCCCAACAAAAGCTGATGCTGACAGCAAACTTGCTCATGGAAAAAGCAGCTGTTTATAGTGGTGAACTCTTCACCTGTTACAGGAAAGGTTGCAGTATTGAGTATAGTGGCACATTTGACAGATTTAGTGTAGTCTACATTGCTCTGCCTATTGTCAACTCTCAAACTTCAGTTGTAAATGGAATTGGAACACAGGTCCTTGACAGATTTGGGATATAAGTTCATGGGATATAAATGCAGTTTGTGTTTGGATGCAAATTGTAGAGGTACTGAATTTGGTAGGGAAGAAAAACCTGCATTTTTGTTTTCATAGCCTACTGCTTCTGCAGATTGAGCTATTTTTACAATACATGTGCACTGTCATCACCTATGAACCCTCATGAGATGCATGATAAATAGGCATGTTACCTGGATTTTCCATACTGTTAGAGATGTTGGTGAGATTCCTATCTTGGCACTGTCTCTGAAAAAAAACTAATACTCATATGTAAAAAGCTGAACTGTATTTCATTTTCAAAGTAAGTGTACAGTGGGTTCAGTGTACATGTTCAGTGTCAAAATTGTGTGAAAATTTTATTCATGAAACAGGCTTTGAAACTTTCGCACAATGGTTATTCTAGCCATAATCCATAGAAATCAAGTAAAAGGATGAAGAGCTTTTAGAAGCATTAGATACGATGCATATGTCGGCTAACTAGCAATATAACTACTTGTGATTTGTTCGATGTAGGAAATAGTAAGGATGAGGCAAGTTTCTTGCCAATTCAGCCCACTTCTACTACAAAACTGTGCATCTTTTCACTCTTTGTTCAGGGTGAAAGTGGGAGAATATTTTCTTATGTGCTGTCAGGAAACCCTGCTCAGCTCTTCTAAGTTGAAGGCAGTGGCTTCCTTTATGGAGTCAATCCAGCTCATATTCGGTCTTCTGCCTTGCACTTTCCCTAGCATGATTGTCTTCTCTGGTCACTATTTCCCTTTCATGATGTGCTCAAAGTATGACAGTCTGTTTTGTCATTTTCCCTCATGGGGAAAGTTGTATCTTGGGGGAAAGTATTTACTCCAAGCCCCTGTGGCCGAAGCGTCGGGCCAGGAATTCGAGTAAAAGAAGGGATCACAGCCAACAGGAACAGGCCACTGCTGCTGTTTCATTCCGCTAGCGTTTCTCGTGTCGCTGAACAAAAGCAGAGCAGCAGTCACACGCCCCACTTTGCCCACGACTCTTAAAAGGTGCGATTGCACCTTGAAAAAATGGAGGACTGCCCGATTCTACGACTCTCTCTCCCCCAAGCTTTAAACACTCGGTTTTCATTCCCACAAACTTGCACTGTGTCGCTACCGATCGACCCTTCCTTCTCTGTCGCGGAACCTCCATTCTTCCCTTAAGCAATAGGCGGCCCTCCTCTAGCAAGCTCCCGCCGACCGGCGCTTCATTGTCGAAGCTCAGACGGCAAGTGGGCTATCTAAGGGGCTCGGTAGATCAGAGAGGATGGCGCAGTGGTGGCAGGTAGCCATGCTGTTCCCTCCCGTTTCCCCGATTGCCGCTGCTCGGCCTCGGACTTCCGCCACAAATGTAGCCAGGGCTCGGCGCCGCGATAAGTGAAGGGAGAAGGCATTCTTTAAGCGCTGGCTGGAGGAGGAAAGCGGGATGGAGCGGGGAAGTGCACACAGTCCATGGAAGGAGGAAGCCCACCGCGGCGGCCTCCTGCGCCAGGCCCGTGCAGGGCTGATTCGATATCTGAGGGACATGCCGCCTCACTCCCCAAAGCCACCGCAGCTCAGTGTCTCCTCTCGGGCGTTGGTCTTATGGATACATGGCTTGGGGTGCTCCCATCTCAGCCTCTCGTAAGAACGCCGTCGCTGTTTATTTATAAATATATTGCGTCTGTATAAATTGCGTCTGTATGCCGCCCCATAGCCCGAGGGCTCTCTGGGCGGCTCACATCGCAAACAACAGCTGCTGGCCGTCATCCTGTCAACTCTTGTTCGCTGTCCGCTGTGTCAGGTGGACAGCTCAGTCCAACCCACCAGTCCAAAGCTTCTCCGACCCCAAGCCACGCTTAGGGGGAAAGGGAACCTTAGGAGGACCACGAGGCGGGACAGGGCGGCGAGATTTCGCGGGCCGAGGGTTCCTCGACAAATTCCCTTCAACTGACGAGACCATCCGGTCGCTACCGGACATGGTTTCGCCAGAGGCATTTTCTTTCTGCCTCTGGTGTCATGACGACCGTCACATGACCAGGATGCCCCTGTTGATTGGTTCTGACCCCTTGAGATTCTATCGTCGCGGACTTTACGGCTTTTGTGCGCGCCGGCTAAGGTGGTGGTTGAGGGGTAGGATAGAAATCGCCGTTAGCGAGGCGTTGACCTCCTGTCGCCTCTTCTTTTCCCCCCGCCATGACTCCAGAGCGGGAAGCGGGCAGCCAGGTAGGAGGGAAAGCGGAGATGGTGAGGCTGGGTTATTGGAAAACAGAAAAAAGACTGGTTTTTTTCAGCCTCCGCACCCGCTGTTTGTTATGTAACCGACAGTGAGGAACTTGGAGAGATCCTGGAAGGGAAAGGAAATTTACCATTGTGGACAGTTTACTTTTTCTTTTTTGAAGGGTCCGGACCTGTGCATGGAGTGTCTGAAGGAAAGTCATACAGCTCGCAGCATCCCATAGGTGGCCATGGCTGCCTGGGGGATTTTAATGTTTAAGACTTTTCCGTCTAAATATGCATAGAATTATGTTTCAAAGTTCACTGGTGTTGCCAGCCTAATAGTCTCACCGCACCGAAGATGGGGACGACATCTTAGGTGTTGGCTTTCCCGGAAAGAATGTGCCTTTTTCTCTGCACAAGAATAACAACAGCACCAGAGAATCAGAAAATCTTAAGGCAGAGGCAGTTCCTCACAGTGGTGCTCAGATAATGGAAAGTAATAAAGCGTGTTATCTAACATGCTAGGCTGTTGTTCATTGGAACAATGTAATGCATGATTGTGTTCAGTTTGCTCCTCATGAAAGCTAATATCAGAATATGTTGGGCATATTATATATCTTTTTGAATTCTTTCAGCATCAGTTCGAGGCCTTGTCTCTCACGACTTTTTGTTCCTATAAATAGATAGGAACTCTTTATTTATTTATTTATTTCAGACTGCTTCTATATTTTAATAACTAGAAAAAAGTTAAAGAGGCGGTGCATCACTCAACATGGGAATCCATGTTTCCTGCGTTACCTATGCCTTTCTGTTGCAGGGAAAAACAAAAGCCATTTAGCAACTATTCTAGGAATTTCTAACCGAGATTGGAATTATGTATTTTGGTTGACCAGTTATTTCTTCCATAGTGCTACCGCACAAACAAACACTGGGGTTTTTTTTTTAACCAATTTTTCATACTGGTCAGTAATTTTTACAGCAGTCACAAGGCTGTGGTTTGGAAAGCAGTTCTTGCTTCCCTCATAGACCAAGAGTTGTTACTTCCCTGGAGATAAAATTCCAGAAGTGTTGCAGTATTGCATTGTATGCAGACTTGATTTTGAAATCCCATGAAAGCATATTATGCTGGGGGAAGCAGATGCTGTGTAATCGGGAGCATGAGAACAGGAAGGTGGTAAAATACAGATAGTTGCTTCTCCAGATAGTTGTGTGTAATGTTTTAATTGGTCCATATGTTAGCTAGCATGTGACATGAGTTGTTAAGACTACTGGACCACTTCCGAAGGTGTTCTGTTTAGATAACATAGGCATTTGTCTATGATATCTCATACCAAATTGAACCTGTTAAACTTTAAGATGCCAGACATTTTTTTTAAACCCAGGATGAGTGTTCTCCATGGAATGTGGTTGGTCAAAAGGAAAGGGAAATAGCTTTATCTTTCCTAAGAAAAACATGGTTTTGCTATCAGTGGTTAGTTACGTGGTATCACCAGTTGCTTCAATATCAGTTGGTGGGGAACACAAGTGTGAAAGTGCTACTCTGCTCATAAGCATCTGATCCATCACTTGGGAATAAAATGTTGGACCAGATTTGATCCAGCAGGTTCATTTTTATGTTCCTATCAAGTTTGTCAGGTTGTGCGTAGCACACAGTTAAGCTGTGGTATTGGCAAGTGTAAGTATTTCCAAAGATAACTTCTCCACCATGTATGCAAAGTAGCTTCAGAGATGTTCCCCTTCTGAATAAAGTTAATTTCAGTGTTGCATTCAGTCTGAAATGAAAAACAATCTTGTTTTTAATAATATACTTAATAAAAGGGATATAAATAATAGAAATACAATTTGCAGTTTAGTTTGGACACACCATCTTGTTCTCATTTATTGTTTCTTTGGGAAATGGTACCTTCATTCATGCAGAGGTTGACCCCAGTCCAAAGAAAGTCAGTCACCATTATAGGTGAAATCTTTCACATGTTTAGTTAAAAAAATCCTTCAACTCTAAGCAGAGAATTCCTGGGGGTCATAATCCCCCCTCCATCTATAATACATATTATAGCCTTCTGGCAACCTTGTTCACTCCGTATGCTGTGGATTATAATTTGCAGAATTTCTGATCATTCAGACTGAAGCTGATAGAAGCTGAAAACCAAAACATGTGGAGGGGTTCAGGCTGGGAAAAGTTGAAATCAGTGGAAAAATAAAATGTAAATTGGATTGAGGCTTTTGCATTTATTGGACTTTACTGTTTACAGTGATAAAGTAGGGTAAATAATAACTTTGCCCTAATACTTTTTTTTAATGCTAAGACTACATGTAACAGTCACAAATTTGTGTGGGTGATATACATTTAAATATATTGAAAGACAGATTAAGAGCATGTACTTTCGTTTGTAAGACAAAAATAAACTACTGTAAAAAAGTTAATGGCTGAGAAGTTTGAAACATGCAAATATATATCCCTGAGTTACTAATATTTCTGGGATGACATTGCCATGAAGGGAAGGCTACCTGAGGTACGCACACTTGTTTTACGTCTGATTATTGAATCCCAGAAGTTTAAGTCCTGGTAACCAAGCAACAAAGAGTTGCTGTGGAGCAATAGTCACAAAATCCTTTACATTGTTTTGATATTCCAATATATCTTGAGATAGTCATAGTTAAAACAATTATTATGGACATAACAGGACTGGAATTGCCAGAGAATTGTAATAATTTGTCTAGTAATGACATTTTAACTTTTACAAAAACCCTCAGTCTCTTTTAATATATGTAATAGATGTAATGTGTATTTGTTATTCTTCTGTTAAGTAGTTTGCCAAAATTCAGATCACCAAGTTTTTTAACAAATGCATGAACTGCAGAAATAGTGTGGAGTATTCAAATTCTGGGCTGAATCTTTCACTTTCTGTTGTCTCTCTATTTCAAGTGCATGCATAACCACAAAAGGTATTCAGTAAACAGGCATTTGGTTGTTGACTGCTTTGTTTTATCTAATTACTCCTTTCCCAGTAAGAGATGCCATAGAGCAAATTAGCAAAGAAGCGGTTTGTCATTAATTAGGATTAAGGTGATGTGTGTGGGGAACAGAACAGTTCTCTCTCAGTGGCACTTCTTCTCAGTTTCCTTTATCCAACTTTGGTATTAGGTATGGCTGACTTTAGCCCTAGCCTTTAATACCCAGAATATGAACCAAGCTAAAGGGAGGTAAGGGGAATGCCTTCTTGAGAAGAGAAAAATTGAGAGTGGGGGAAGAAATTTGTAAGCTTGAAGCTGTTTCCCTGCCTCTTAACCATATTTCATAAGTAAGTTAGGATTGTGTCTGAACTGTTTACTGACCCAGTTGGCACATAATGGCAGCAGATCACGGGTTAACTCATAGTCTGCTCAACATTGGGTATTGCTGCCATTTTAAATATGCAGCCTCCAATCTGAGGCTATTTTGTGACATACAAACCAAGACACTATGGATTAATCGTAAGTTGAACATGCTGAAGTTAATCTACTATTAGGTTAATTGTGAGTTGCTTAATCCAAATTTAATTCATAGTGGCTAAGTACACATGTCAATGCATGATGCTGAATATTAAAGCTTCAATAATAATTGAAGGATGCATATTCAAAATGGCAAATCAGTGAGACGAATCATGGGTTTTTTAACATGTGAATGGGGCCTGCAGCTGATATTGGCAGATATTTATTTTTTATAAAAGCAGAATTGAGATGCTCTGAAAACCAATTTCTGTAGTGCATGCAACATTTAAAGCAGCAATTTGCTTAAGAACTCAATTTCTTGGTGCTGTTTCAGATGTCCTATTACAGATTTTACTTCTTTGTACTTTGAGTTGGTTGCGCAGAAGAACAAGATGCCAGTTTTTTATTCTTGTGACAGCTTTGTTCACAGAGATGGAGGCTATTCACTTATTTTGATCTCAAAGTGCATGTAGCCAAAACCCCTTTTGTTTCTCAGGGCATCAAGTTGTCAGCAGAGGTCAAACCGTTTGTGCCCAAATATACGGCGGTAAAAGTGGCATGGTCAGAACCCTCAGAAGCATGTGTCTTTCCTAGATATTATACTACATGCTACCCATATGTTCAGGAACCACCAGTGAATAAGTACGTACCCTTCTAAATCTCATTTCTTGGGGGACTGTTTACTTACCAACATCTTGAGTTTAGATTCCTTAGCTGTTTGGTGAGTTAAGTTTATTTAGTGAATAAATTTCTCATTTAATACTTTAGGCCACAGCGTTGCATCTACTTCTCACAGGATATTTCATAGATAATGGTGTGTTGGGGGTTTTGATCCCTAAACATTTATCTTCTGTGAAAAGATTATATGCTTCCTTGATTTTGAAGCAGTACTTATGGTATTTAAGAAATGATGCTTCAGATTCTGTGGGAGGTTGACACCTGTTTTAAACTAGCCTTACTAGCTTGAAGCAGTGGGGGTGGGGGAGGGTTATTGCTCTGGCACCATATTTGCTTAGTAATCAAAACTCTCAGTTCTAATTAACATTTTAAATGTTCACATATTTAAGCATCTAAAACTAAGCAGCATGTGTTTTCTCTCTTTGTGAGAGAATGGAACTTTAATTTTAGTGACTACTGACAGCAAGATTTATTTAGCAAATTGCATCAACTTTGAAAGAGTGTCCCCACGTGCTGAAAGCAGAAATGGAGTGTGGTGGGTTACAGTAATCAAGAGCTCTTTGGTGGGGAGTAGAACCAGCTTGTAAATGTAGTTGTCTGTTGGTTATAAAGTTCCAGCCTATTATAACACCACTGACATATTCATAGGCAATATAAGGCATACTTATAATAAAAGTGCCACTGACTTATATTCCTAGTAAATAAGGTTTTACAGTTTGTTTGTTGCTAGCAGGTATTTCAGTGGCAGTTATCCAAAGCTATAAGAGTACTTTTGTTGTTTCTGGGTTGGAATGCAGTATGGGCTATAACATGAACTATAGGTGAATATGTTTCGAACTATGGATAAAAGTTCTACATAGCAAAGCTTCAGTCATTGTTGAATTTCTGTAGCTTGGATAGTAAGAGGCTAGTTGACAGGAAGTAATGGAGCTTTTAGGGAAAACTTTGTTTCACTGAATCTTTTATGTCGAAAAAGTGCAGGTTGGATCCAATATCATTCAGTGAGATTTCACTGTCCTCTTTGCTCCCGTAGCCCCTTTGCTGTACCCCATACCTGTTCTGGAGTGAGTTCCAAGCTTTCAGAGCAGATTTGTAGGGAGCTACAATGGGAAGCAGAAATCCATTCCACTAGCTCTTTCCAGTTTCCTAGTGGATGATCAGCTTTGGGTCCATCCTACAGCTTGTCATTTAGTCATCAGAGGCAGGATCCTATGCTATTAAAGTCAAAGATGACTATTTTGAATGGAGAGAGATGTTCAGTCTGTGTACTATTTCATTATCTGTAGCAGAAGTAGAAAAATCTCTGCTACCTAAGAGAGATACCAGTAGTGTCTTGTTATGCTTTCTTTCTGTGTTGGACAGAAATCTAAACATGTGGATGTCAGAATCAGAAGTATTTTGTAACAGATTTGTTAAGAATGCCATTTCTTTCATACTTTCATGACAGTTTCTGAACTAAAAAGAAAAACCCCACATGTTTAGAGCACAGTAGAGAAATGTTCGAGCAACTTCAATATGTTTTCTTGTGAAACAGTCATATTTGAGTGAGCTGCCAACTGAAAACTATATGTTTATTTAATTTAGACCACAGGTATATACTCAAGATGTGTTCTGGGAACCCACTACTCCTCTGTCCCAATATGCATCTCAGAATCCTTTGGGCAATAATTTGCTTGAGGAGTACACCAGTCCTCCTTACTCAGTTGATGCCACACCAAACGTGTATTCAGTTGCCAGCTTCCAATGTGAAAACAACAACCCTAAGTTCTACAATTCTTCTAGACAGGACAGGGACTATGCCAAACAGACTTCTCTCCAAAGAAAAGGGGCTGCAAGTCTTCCCAGGGTAAGTGATGACACTGGAGATTTTTTTTTCTGGCTGACTAAAGCCTTGTACTAATATCACAAATCAAATTGCAGGCTTGTCTGGTGGGCCTCACTTTTCATGTGCTTCAGCTCTTATTGGTCCCTGCCATTCTACATGGCTAGGGACATGCGTGGGACCCAGATAAATTGTACACATCATACCTAGCTTCTGATTCTTTTTACATTGTTGAATGATGGAGTGAGTCTATGAAAAGAATATCAAATAGATTGCTTGCTAATAGAATTCTGTGAAATATTCATAACAAAATTTGTATGTGCTTTGAGCACCTCTGTGGATTGCAGTGGAATTGTCTGCTTTTGAGCAGTTCCAGTTGTTCTGGACACAGTTGTAGGGGTTGGGTGATTGTGTTTCAGCTATCTTGTCCTTGCCAAGATTGTCATTCATGTACCCTTGCACTGCTGATTCAGATCTTTTTGACCAAGGCCAAAGGAGGAACAAGGTCTTACCTTAGGCAAATAACTTCCTTACCTTTTACCTGGGACAGAACTCCTTCGCTTTCTCAAAAAAACATTGCTGCTCAGCAATAAATTTTCAGCTATTTATTCCCCTCTTTCTCCAGCTCAGCCATTTCCTTAAACACCATTCTTTCTTTAAATAAACAAGCTGCTTTGGTTGCTTATCTCTCTCCCCCACCCTCTGTGCAAAGTATGGTTCTGATGAGAATTTGTCTAAGCTTGGAAATAAAAGGATAATGATAGTTGCTGATATTTTGAATAGAGGGAAACAGTGTACTGACCTGACCAAATCTAGGTCTAATGCCTCCTCCTTCAACTGCCTCAATATCTCCTTTAAAGAGCCTTCTGGAGCTCCAAATTGCAGGCTGTTGCTGTCATCAGATCACGCCAGATACTTCAAGCATAGATATGGACAAGAGAATAATTTTCCTCTTTCTGTAGAAGATTCAGAAGACATTGTATACCTTTGCACTCAAAGGTGACATGTTTGATGTTCTTCACCCCATCTTAATGCTAATCTTCTGTCTGTGGGTCCTCACTTGGGATCACCAACATTGCAGGCTCCTGCAGTGGCTCCTCTTGTCTTGCGCAGGGGTGGACAACCTCAAGAGAACATGGGAGGCTGGGGAATGCTAGAAGTTGTAGAATAGTTTTCTAAGCACACATAGGATTACATCCTATATAAATTAATGTAACATAGATGTGGTAATTAAAAAGTAGACAACTCAGAGAAAAGACTTTGGAAAACTCTCATTTTCTTCATTATTCTGTACAGAGGCGACCAAAAGACCATGAATCCAAACTGGAGGATAAAAGACCTGAGCAGAATGACTTTTCTAGCAAATCAACAGAGAGTACATCTTATACACTTCTGCATGGCAGAAATCCCATTAAATCAGGTGCATTAACTTAATTGGTTAATTGGGTATTTTGTAGATTAGACCTGAACAAAGATGCTGGAGAAAGTAGCGGGAAAAAATCCTCCTTAAATTGGGCCATTATAGTTGACTGATATAATAGGACTTTTTATGGAAACAGCTCAGTTCAGGTGGTTTCTTATAAATGCATATTTGCATAGCTTTTGGTAATCATAAACTATTTCTTTCGTTTTCCACAATATTGGTGTTTTTCAGTTCTGAAATATCAGGAATTATTTAAAAAAGAACTGTTATCTAGTATGAATAAAAAGTATTAATTTGCATTTAAATTTGTTTTATTAGAGCGGCCTATTAAAGCTGTGAATGGAAAATTCAAGCAAAATCCAAACAATGAGTGTCTTCCAGAACCAGCCTTTGAAATTACCCTCTCAGATTTTCCAAAATTGCAAGGCCTGGGAAGTAGTGATCTGCTGGACCTTAAAAAACATACATGGGAGTCACTTCGCTCTGCTGAAGGAGATAAGCTGCCTCTGAACTCTTCAGAAAAAACAGCAGTTTCAGCTTTCATTACTAAAGAGGTTAGCGCTTTAATAGCTTTTACGCTGTGATTCTTGAGATCCACTGCATAACAGGATAGAAGTGTTTTAAATATATATAAATGAATGTTTAAACTATAGTGTATAAAACAAATATATTGATATTAAACTATCTACCTGCTCTGTGTATGAGTCATTCTATGTAGCAACAGAAAGGTATAAGTAGACACTGTTTGGGTTCCTTCTGGTTACCTGCACATCATGGAAGCCTGTTCTAAATTTAGCCTTCCAAACTTTGACACAAATCCAAATAATAAAATATGAGTTCCCCATTTTTAAATGGATTGTGAGGAGATTCCTTGATTGGAGAAGAATGCTTCTGTTATTTGATGAAGCTTCTGTTTAAAAAATCATTGTGTAGGGAGTTGTTTCATATATTTATATAAGTATGTATTTCTTGCATGTAAATACCTCCCCAGTAGCCCAGACGGCTCTCTGGGCAGTTTATAAACAAACATTTTGTTTGTGGTAAAGGTCTTTGTTCAGATTGATTTTGAGCAGAGGTGGTGGGATTGGTTTGGGGTTTTTTGATGTATTGAATATTGTAAGAACTATTTCTTTATGTTAAAGCTATAATTTTCATTTTAGGGTGAAGTACCTCTGAAAAAGCACTTCCCTGAAAGACCTTTAAGTTCTTCCTCTGACCCTGGAGGTAAGCTGACACTGAATCTTATTAATTTAAAGTTTATAGCATTGGTTCTAAGCATGAACTCTGATGAAAAAGGATGGGGGAACTTACTGTTATAGTGGATAGGAAAATTCCATTTGATAAAGGTTTACTTTGGAAGTGCTTGTATAAACATGCTCTCAGTTACCAGAGACCTCAATTTTTCACAGGATCCAGATCCTAACTATAAATTTCAAAATTCAGTACATCAAAGTAAGCCTGATGTTCTCTCATTCAAACAGATACATTTGGAGAGTGCTGTTGTTGTGTGCATAGTTTGTACACAATACCTACTGATATTCTCCAAATGCATCTGTTTCAGAAATAGGGAAAGTACTACCTATTTCAGGAAGAACATCATATCTCCAAAATGAAACATTGTGTAGTGCAAAATGACCCATGTGAAAATTCAGCACACCCCTACTGTTTAGTACACAGTTTAGTAGGTGAACAACATCAGTAAATTTTAATAGTATATTCAATCAAATATCAGTTCCTCAGGTTTGTTCAGGTTATTTCACTGAGGCGCCGGTGTCTTGGGCCACTGTGCTATCGCAGACTCTCAAGAGAGTTGTTTCAACACCAGCTGCAGCCCTTGCCAACAACCAGTCTGACAGTAAGGCAAAAGATGCAGTTCCTGAAGCATGTACGGTAAGAAATTCTGTTTTAATGTTTTACCATTAACTCTTGGCATTGCAGTTAGCTAGAGTTTCACACTCAGCTTCTTAAAGATATTTTAAAAGTCATTTGTGGGGGGGGGGAATAACATGTGACAGGAAGTACTATCATTCTTGTCCTGAATAATAATAATGAGCAGTAGCAAGCCTATTTTGATCATGTTGTTACAGTGTTAATACATACTATCAACTTTATATTCCTGATCTAAAGCTCCTCCTCTCCTAATCATTTTCTGTCTCTCTCGCTCTCTCTCACTCCCTCACACACGCATATACACATACCTGTTTGTTTTACCTTACTTCCCTTATTTTCTGTACCTGTCTCTGGATCATATGTTCCCTCATTTTAAATGATGCTTTTCCTTCCTGGCTGGAGTCGGAGGTCAGACTAGATGGTCCGAGAGGCCCCTTGTGACTTGCTCTGTTTCTGTGTTATTAACTTTGTCTTTTTTGACCCACCTTTTTCTTGTAGTCAAGCTACTGTAAAAATGTGATGCTTCCAACAATGTTTTCACCCCTTACTTTAAAAAATGGGTGAACAAATTGTGGTCTTTTATTGATTTGACTTACAACCTCCATCTTCCCTCCCAGCTGGCAACAGCTGATGAGAATTGTAAGCCAAAACAAGTGCTGGGCAACAAGTTTCCTACTGCTGCAGAAGCACAAGTTCATTCTAACATGACTTGACTGTCTGGTTTGTCTCCTCCAATCTTACCTGTCCTGCCCACTTGGCTCTTTTTTTGCATTTTACCATGCTTTTCCTATGCTCACTTTCTCTCCTTACTACTAGGCTCTCTCATGTGACGTCTTAGGCCATACTGCTGTGCCCATGGCTACACACAAGGCATTCTGGCCATTCTGATTTTTTTTAAACTGGAAGCTGTCATGCTTCAAAGCAAAACAGATGTCCCTGGCAGAGGCCCCAGATAAATTCTTAGAAAATGGACACAATAGATGGTTACCACTCTTGTGTCTTGTTTTCAAGTGTGCCCAATCACCCAGGACGGGGTGGGGTGGGGTGAGGTGCGGCAGGGAACACTGATGGTGGAATGAGCATCCTGGGGGACTAGAGAGGGGAAGCTTTTGCTCTTGAGTGTGTGCAGAAATGCCTGCATATATTCTTTAATGTGTACTTAGTGTGGCTTCTGAAGTTACAGTGTATCTGAATAGGTCTGAAACCTTTTGTTTCTTTTAAAGGCCTGTGTGGTTGTTGTTGAGTGACAACATTCTGAAGAGAGAGAGAAAGAATTGCTTTAAATTTTCTAAGATGGGGGCAGAAACGGGTAAATTCAATTCTGATTGCCTGGAGATCCCAACAGAGTGGTTGGGAAATGACAGTTAAGGTATTAGGAGCTTAGTCATGGAGTCAGAATTAGTCTGTTGGTTGGCATATGGGGTTTGAAAAGGAATAAGAAAGTTCCATTGAAAATAGGGCAATGTTGAAAAAGCTCTCTTTGAGTAGCTTTTTCTTCACAGCTCAACATTTCTGCCCATTTTAAACACATTCCAACCATCAAAACCATGCCAGGACACCTCATTTTTCTAACCCTAACCCAGTGATGGTGAACCTTTTAGAGACCCAAGTGCCCAAACTGCAACCCGAAACCCACTTATTTATCGCAAAGTGCCAACACTGCAATAAAACCTGAAAACTGAGATTTTAGTTTAGAAAAAACAACTCACAGCCAGTCTAAGCAAATATATTTGTATCCTTGGCAGTGCACTGACTGGCCATGCGAAAGCTCAGATAAGTCGCACCTAATGAGTCGCGGCTTGTGATGTCATTGCCTGATGCTGCTACTCCTTTCCAAGCGTGCGCATGGTCCCTATGTGCACTGTTACCCGATGCACAGCTGCTGGGGCAATGCTGGGGCGCCATAGGTTCACCACCACTGCTTTAGAGGCTTATAATAGCACCAATATTTCCTGAGTTGTAAAGATTTGTCACTAAGCAGTCTTTTGAAATTCCCAAAGAAAAATATTTGTAATCCCTTAGGTATAAAATATCTCCTTTAATTTAAACTACTGTGTTTTTATTTATTTTCCATTGCTGGAATGGAACTGGAGTAGAGCTGTTGAATCTTTAAAATACTTTTGCTTTATGCAGCTATACTCAGTTATTTTCAGCTACCATGAGAAAAAAGTGCTAATTCTGTCTTTTTAATTAACGTTCTATGAGAGACCTGTCTTCTATCACCAGATTAATTTGTAAAGTGAATCCAAGGGCTCTCAAAGCAGTAATCTGAAGACCTGGAAGTTTGATAAGTCTGACAACTATTGTGGAAGAAGGTTAAGAAATAGATTGTTGTCATCAGAGAGACTGTAAAGTTTTGAAACATCAGCTTAAAGCAGTAAAAGTACTTGTTGCTGTGATCAGGAAACAGTAACCTTTTTTATAACACTGGTTACAACTCCCTAAAGAAATTAACTGGCTTTCAGAACCCTGGGAATTATATCTACTTTTGAAAGTATCCCTTTCAGTATGGGAAAAGCATACAAAAGTATGCAGTAGCAAAGATGGAAGACAAAGAGTATGAAGCTGAGTCTTAATATACCCCACATCCTGGATCTTGCCCCCTAAAGGGAATACTCAAAGTCACAAAGATGATGTGGAGAATCTATCTTTTGTTAACTTGGCAGCAGAGTTGAATCATGCAGAAGTGTCTGAACTGCTAGAACTTGCCCAGTCAGAGATATACTTTGCTCAGGCATTTATACTTCTGGAAGCTGTACAATCTGAGCCACACCATGATGGGTCAAATAAGGCTTCAGGACTTCTGCAATCCTCAGAAAAAGAAGATTTACTAAAACTCTTGAGTTTGTTCATAGCAGATCAAATGAAAACATAAATGAGGATGAGTCCTTCTGTCACAGCAAGACAACTAAAGAAGACAGTCTTCTAATTAAAGGCTGACTGATAACAAAGGACACTGGATATTTTAAATCCTGTTTACCTGTATGTAACTAGGTACTTTAACTATAGTCACAGAGCCATATAAAAAACTCAGCTAGTGATGCCAGTTCAGCAAACAACTTTCTTCAGAGAAGATCACAAACATAATTTAATGGCAATGAATAGAAAGAAGATAGATTCATCGAACAATGACAAGGAAAATCAGGGGCTACAAATTAAAGAAGACTGGGAATATAGAAAATATGGAGGGTGATTGCTGTAAGAAAATGGAATTTAAGGAACTTTCCCAACTGCTTGATAATAACTCTAAGCAGAAAGCAGAACAGAAGGTACAGGATGATAATGAAACAAAAATGGACAATGTTCGATCTCCAGCTGAATGTACAGTAAGGCCTGTTTTGTCCTCATCTTCAGTAGATCATGATCACTCAAGGCACTTAGATATGCAAGAATCCTAAGGCCAAAGCCATGTATGAGAAAGTCAGTAGTGTGTAATAGTTGGATGGTAGTGCTGATTTACCAAAAGTCTTCCTTTTTAATTACCCCAAATTAGAGGGATTTCTTAGACTGAATGAGTATAAATTGCACCTTCCACATATCCTAAATACAGTGTATCCAGGTCTTCTTACTCTAGCTGTTATAGCATATGTGAATTATTAATAGTGGCATCTGTGTGTATGTGGTGGTCACTTTCAGAAATGAGGATTCAGCTACTCTGGTATTCTGGACATACCAAAGCAACATCTTTGCTAAAGTCATCATATTACTATCAAGATTTTTGAATATGTAGCTTTTCAGCTTCTCATATGATTATTCAATTAAATAGACATTCTAAAAGCAGCCCAGTCGTTGAGATTGATAATTCTAATAATTGAATCAGCTTGGATGATTTTCAAGAAATTTGTCCCTTTCTTGGAATTCTTGACAGTTACAAACAGAAGCTAAAGGAACTATGTGGCTTGGAAGAATTATTAGACACATTGGATAAAGGGAAAGGCATTTGTATTGATGAGAAGAAAACATTCTCAGATACCTTTTGTGTTTTTGGAGGTTTTTGTGTCTTTAGAGGTTCAGGATAATAGTGTGTTGAAACAGAATATCTTGAGAGACCTTTCAACTAATAGTCAGATTGGACTTGGTGACTATAGTAAACAAAAAGGCTGCTACAGGACTGCAGAGGTGCTTGGATTACAATATCCAGTTATTTGTAATAGGAGAAGAGAAGGAATGCTCTAGAGAGCACTGAAATAGAGCTAGACAGATTGTTTGATCTGGCTAACCCATTCCTAAGTAAAATTATACGGAGCTATGCTAGTGGGGAAGTGGCAGACATTACACCTAGCACAAGACCCCCTGACCCAGAGCCTGGTTCATGGCTAGCCATGAGGTATTTGGGAGAGGAAGAGATGGGATCTCCAGAAAGGCTAGTAAATCCTGCTCAGAGCTTAGCAAATACCTTTACTGCTGTCACAAGACATGCTGTAATATCCAATGTCCCCCTTGAAGAGAAGGAATGGTAGTCACAAAGTTAGTAACAAACTCAGTAGTATCCAGATGGAAGTCTAATGTATATGGTAAAAGATTTGATTGAATACATCATGAAGTGATAGCATTCAAAGAAACTGTGCTTATAACAAATACCATGATATATTTACCAAGATTTGCAACACGAGTCAAACCAGCACAGAGAATGATCAACAGTGCCCAGCCATGGGAGGTTAGCCATTTCAGTTAAGGAGAAGGAGGTGGAGAAATGGTTGATTGTGCAGACTCCTCCCCTAACTTCCAGGTGGTAAAATTTTCTATTACTGGTATGGCAATAATCTTTCTAAATGCCTATATACTCCCAGCTTCCTCTCAGTAACTCAGATATGTGGCTGCAGCTTGGTCAGTCAATTAGGGAAACTGGATACAAGATTCCCAAGTGTTCTGTTCATACTTTTAGGTAACTTTAATGCCAGGATGGGCTCATCACTATCAACATTGCAGAGAAATGTGGCCTTCGGGATGATAACTCCTTGGATTTTAACTATTGGAAATCCAAAGATAAAACAATAAATTAAGCTGACATAAACCTATACAAAGTTACATATCGCTTTGGTTCGCAGATAATGGGCTGTAATGAGTCCAGTGTAGGGTATTCTTTTACCTACTTTTAAGCTTTCTCAGGTAGTGTCCTTAATTTCACCTGTATTTCCAAAGGGAAAGCACATTCATTCTCTCATGTAATAGGTAATGGCAAGGAAGATAGTGACCCTTAGCTCATTACAGTGAAGGTAGCAGCAGATTCAGACTTAAGGCCAGTAATGGACGCAGATAAATGGTTAGGACTGAATTTGGAATTTCATGAAGAAGGAGGATTAATGTACTGAAATTAAATGCTTTTTAAAATTCAGTCACGGATAAATGATTATACAATATTATCTCAAGCACTGACTCCAACATAGGACACTGCCCTAAAGACATACCAGGACTTACGTGATAATTTGCCAATTTTAACAACCAAACGAAGGACAAATGAAATAAAATTTATAAAGTCCTTAAAGCTTAATAAAAATGTAGATTAGGAAGAAGCAAGTGGAGAAGCCAGATCCAGAAAGGACAGATCACATTAGGCCAAATGGGGCAGTGTACAGTGCTAAAGCTTAGACAAGATTATAAAAAAAATATCATGGTTAAGAAATTACAGTTCCAGAACAAATTTTGGTCTGAACTTGAGCTGGCAGCAACCGGAGTACATTTAACCTAATTTTTAGCATTTAGTTTCTGGTGGGCTGACAGAAATAAAATTATTTTTGATACTCCAGTACCAGCCACAACAAGGGACATTTTTATGCAAACTTATTTAAAGATGAAGACGTTGGAAAAATTGGGGGATCCGTGACTTGAGATCCCAACTCTTTCTTATCATGGTTGCCAGTCTCCTCCCTTGAGATTAAACTACTTATACAATGCACTGAAGGATGATTTTTTGCTATCTGAACTATTTAAGGCTAAAGTAGATTATTGGACTTCTCTTTTAGCAGACCTTTTAACACATAGAAACAGCACAGGTTTTGTCTCAAAAGGCTGGATTTTCAGTCAATAGTGCCAGTATTTAAGAAAAAAAGTAACAGAAAGGACCCTAAAAACTATAGGCCAATCCATGTGATTGCTATTCTAGCCAAAGTATAAGCTATGCATTTTTTGGAAAAAGCAGAGGCCTGAGCAGAAGAACTTGCCCTACTAACTGGAAAACAGGCAGGATTTAGGAAAAGTCACTCTACTGTAGACCATTGTTTTTTACATCATCTCATTACTAAATACACATGAAAAAATTGAATTTTTTTGCTGCTTTTATTGACCTTAGTGCAGGCTTTGACTCTAACAGGGGACATCTCTGGGAGATAAATGTCAAATCCAAATATAGATCAAACTTCTGTATCTAGCTAAAACATTATATTCAGAAATATACTTGAGGGCCCAGACAGGCACCAGAAGTTTCGAAGCTAATCCCAACCCATAAAGGCATCCATCAAGGATGTATATTAGCCTCCTTTCCTTTTAATATTTATATAAATGATATAGTTGAATTCTTGAATAACCAGAACTGTCATATACCCAGGATTTGTAAATATACTACTGTATGCAGATGATATGGTGTTCTTTTCAACAACTCAACTTGACCTGAGGAGATTGCTCAGATAGTTTGGCTTTTACTGTACAGAAAAGGATTTGGTCATTAATTGCACTAAATTCAAAGTAATGGTTTCTGCTAAAAAGAAAAAAAGTGCATAAATAGTATATAAATGTAAAAGAGCTAGAGCAGCTAAATTCTTATTGCTACCTTGGCATAACTTTCTCAGCCACAGGTTCTTAGGTACTATTAGAGAGAGAGAGAGAGAACTAACAGACGTACGTACATATGTTAGAAGCAGCTGCTGGTGTACAAACTCTAAACAGACTGTTGAATTTCACTTTTCCTGGGACAATGCACTCAGTTCTAAATATTTTCAATGTAAAGGTGATATAAATGTTAACTTTAGGTGTGGAAATCTGGGGCATTGCCGATTTGACCTCTATTGAAAGAGAATTGGCTGTCCCGAGAGCATGATGCTAGTGGGAGGCTTTCAAACAAATTTAATAAATAAAATATAAAACAGATTCCTACATACAATTTCAGAAGTTTTAAAATTTATTTTATATAATTAGAGCAAATTGGACATAGGAATCATTTCCGGTTTAATATATGTCAGAATGGTTAATTACTGTTGCAGAGTCAACCTGATAGTGGACAACAGACTTCCGAAGATCTGTCTAGAGGAACCAAAGACAATTTTGTATGAACAGTTTTTATATGAACTGTTCTAAAAATTTACAAAATTTCTCCTTAACTTTGGATTCTCCATACAGGTATTGAATCCAAGGGGAAAGGATGCCAGTGGGATTTTCAAACAGATATAGGCGCTCAATCTGATACAGCTGGCATTATGTTCTCTAAAATAAGCAAATGCTTTAGCAGGCACAAAACATCAACATGAAAAATATCCGATATACCCTATCATAGTGGAACATTGGAAGGCTTCTGCCAAATTATGTTTTGAACAAATGGAATCTGAGATAGAACTGGAGAGATTTCATACCAGTTTAAAAGGGCCCATGTGTTTATGGATCTCCAGTAGTGCAACAGTTGACCCCTTATATGGTTCATTGTGAGTTATATACTAACATTAGAAAATGTTATCTAGAACCCGTCCTAGAGAAAATTAAGTACTGGGGACAGAAAGAAAAAAACGGTTTCTGGTTCAAGGGACAAATTGACATGTGACAAAAATATATCCTTGTTTGCTGTAAGGCTGCCCAATGTGTGCAGATCTCACAGTGTGTGGAGCGTATAATTGTATCCCGATTGCCCTACCAGTGCCTCTTGGGAATGACCTATTGTTTCTTCACTGCAGTAATATAAACTCCTTTTAAGTAATTTTTATATATTCTATATGCTACTTTTAATCAGTCTTTATGAATCGTGACTGATTTGATTTACTTTTCCATGGTCTGATGACTTGTGCATAAAACAATAAACCTTTTAACAGATTGGTTCATCTGGTCTCTAGTTTTGGTGCCCATCTCACACTGAAACACCCTATATCACCTATAGGAAGTTTTAAAGTATTCTAAATGAATTGCTGGCATCAAAAAGAGGGCAGATTGCGGAACTTGAAGTTGCAGTAGCAGAGTTTATTAGGCCCAGAGGTCAAAGCATAAATGAGCATTCTTATTTATAGAAGCGCCCCAGAGGTGTGACTGCTCAGTAAGGGAGTAGTTTCCTATAAGTGGTAGCATTAATCAGTAGAGGAATTCACCCATGGTGAGTTTTTCTAGAGTGATCGTATATGTAGGTTATATGTAGATCGTATATGTAGGTTAGCCGTATGTTATGGAGGTTTTATTCGGGAGATGTATATATGAGAGAGAGGTGGGAGAGTTGCCTAAGTATGGCATGTGGTATGTGCGTTTTGGGCTTTGGTTTTGTGTTTATCTGCTGTAATTAGGCATTTGGGAACCAGATCTCAACTTTTACTCAGTTTCTCATCCTTGAATGTCTTCTGTGCAGTTGTGTTTTTAGGAAGCATCATCATCATTATTTAGCAATGTCTTTATGTAAATGTTAAATAATTACAAATAAGTATTTTGAATTTAGTGGCTATTAGTTTGGGTTCCATAACCTTAAGTTCTTTATTTGTAATATTTTTAACTTAAAATGTAAAAGTCAGTACTTTCTCCATCTTTGGATGATAGGCTTTCCCTGATACATACTAGCAAAATAGGGTTTTCCCCATTGTATTATTGACATTAATTATGTACATTGGTTTATAAGTAACTCGGCATGACTCTGTTTATTTTTTTCTAGTGTTTAGCTTAAAGTGGAATCATATATCCTTTTTTAATGTGTGGATAGTGCTTAGCCATGTTAATTAAATCAGTTTGTGAAAACATACCATGGCCAATAGCATATTCTTATATTCTTACCAGGAAGTATTTTATTCTATTTGTAAGTGGTTTGTTCTTTTTCCAGACCCCACCCCACCTCTAAGTCTCTTTCCATGTGATAGTGAATGCTTTGTTGCCTTGTAGAAAATCAGTTACTTAGCTACCAAGATGGACCTCTACTTATGTGAAATGGAGTAGAATCAGGATTTTGTGAACAGAAAGATAAGGCAAAAGCGCGTCAGAGACCATAGAGAATCATGTATGGCTATCCAAGGTTTTAGCTTAACTATTTTAACCCTTTACTAAGAAACAGTTTGACCTATTTTTCAATAGCCAGAAGCAAGAGAAAACACTAGTGACAAGGAACTTGAAGAAACAGCAGACAAAAAGAAGAAGAAAAAGAGAAAGAAAAAGAAAGCCAAACAAAACAATGAAGGGGAGGACCTTCATACGAACATTTCAGTTCAGGAACCTCCAAGGATTGAGGTAGAGAGGTTGATTTTCTGATGATATCAAAGGTTTTTTTGTGTGCACCCTCAAGGGATGATATGCCAACTAGAATCTGTAGACATATGAGAGTAATTAGAATAAAATCTTCTCTTCATTTGTCCATTGGAAAATCATTTTGCAATATAGGGATAAGGCCTAATTAACAAGTCAAACTTGGCTTATACTGGGGATTACAATCCATGTGGCATAGCTTGTACAAAATAAGCGAAAATTTGGAAAAATGGAAGTAGGGTGGCCATTATCTCACTGATCCTACTTAGAAACAGGGATCAGACTGCCCCACCCCTTTTGGCCTGTGATTCCCAGCAGTGACACAGCATTATAATCAGCAGAAATTCCCAATTCCAGTATGAATTCAGATTTTATTTGTCAAAAGACTGTCTCTGAGCCATTTTAAAAAACAAAATTGGCTTAGCAAGACTACTGGAGCATGTCATGTATTTTAGCCCCTGAACTGATTTATGTTCATATTCAGCACAAGCTAGTCAATAATTGTCACTTTTTCAGTTCTGTTGATTTCATTAGGAGAGAGAATGCACATTCTTAAGTGTCCCATTGAAAGAATAGGCCTTGACATGCTTAACTGTTAATGGATACTGTTAGGATTTATATTCTGCTTTAGAGTACACAAAGTATTTAACATACATACATAGTGATACTATAATTCTTACAACAGCCTTCTAAGAATGCTTAATATTAGTATTTCCATATTTCAGACAGTGGGGTGGGGGTTGCTAAGAGATTGCTGCTGTTGGTGTGTCCAAGGACAGAGGGCAAAATGTGTGTGCATGCAGTATTTTTTTTTAACATGGCTCAACCTGATCCTTTATTTTCATTTACTCAGGATGATGACGAATTTCCGAACCTTGCAGCAGCTACTGATAAAAAGTACAAGCCAGGGACACAAAATACGTTTTATGCAGCACCTATTTCCAGGCAGCAGACTGAAGTAAAAAATTTTTCCTTCACCTTGGGCTTCTACATCCACATGCCAGTTCAGTTTGTTTTCACATGTGTTACTTGTTCTTCAGTTATTTTAGAGCTCCCCCTACCACTTTTCCAAATTTTAATGAAGGTGTGCCAAAATGTCTGCTGATCGTTTCACATAAAGGAAAAAAGTGTTTCAACAGTGAAGGACAAAGAGATTCCATATGTTAATGTAACTTTGCTTTTGAATATTTTATGTCTGCTTTTGTATGTCTGCTTTTGAAATTTGTACTTTGTAACTACAAGCATGTTAGATTGTGATGTCCTTACTACTTGGACATGTGGTGTTTATAACCTGGTTATCACTGAAGGACTTGTTCCGTTCAGCAAAATACTTCTTCAAAATCAGGATCATTTTCTGGAGGATAAAAAAATCATCCAGAGGGTAGCCTTCTTTGGTTGAATGGAACTTTGAAATTCTGAGTAAGAAAACACTCCTTAACCCAAGTAATATTCAGAAAGACCCTGATAGTAAGATACTTACTTCAGATCTTGCAGTGCATCATAAATCATCTATCAGAATAGGATAAACAATGCCTAGCAATGATGGCCCATGCTCTGGTAACTTCCTGATTGGATTATTGCAGCTTCTGTATGTGGGGCTGCCCTTGAAGATGGTCCAGTTACTTCAGTTGGTTCAGAATAGAGCTGCCAGGTTGTTAATGGGGACCGGCAGATATTCACATATAATGCTGGTCCTCTGCCATTTACAGTGACTGCCAATTGAAGTCTGGGCCCAATGTAAGGTGCTGGTGATGGCCTATAAAGCCCTAAATGGCTTGGGTCCGGGGTACCTGAAGGAGCACCTCCTTCCCTATGTGCCCTTCCACCCTTTGATATCTGAGGCAGAGCTCCTGCTCTGGGAGCCCTCCTTCAAGGAGATCAGGAGGGTAGCTACCCAGAGAAGGGCCTTTTCTGTGGTGGTACCCCAGCTATGGAATATGCTTCCCAGAGAGGTTGGCCTGGCACTGGCACTGGCACTTTATTCTTTTAGGTGTCAGGCAAAACCCTTTTTATTTTCCCATTATTTTAATGTCTAATCAATTTTAAGCTGGATTTTATTATAGTGAGGTGTTGGATGTTGTGCTTTATTTGTTGCTTTTATTGTAAACCATCCAGAGATGTCAGTAGTTGGATGGGTTATAAAAGCCATCAATCAATCAATCCATAGTGATTCTGAAGATCTGTGTTCTTCAAAAGAAACGTCAGGATTTCTCACAGGTTTTTCAAATGAGAAATACAAAATTTGCATGCAAACATATGATACTCATTTTAGGTATCAGAGTAATTAAAAATGAACCAGTGTTACATTCTAGATATGTTAGAAGAACATGGATACTATCACAGGTTCAAAGGGTCCTTTGTGTATGCAGAAGGCAACTGAATGCTTGCAAGGAGGAATTACCAGTATCTCCTCCTCACTGCTTCAAAATCCCATCAGCCTTTGGAGTGGGAGTTCAAGTGAACTGAAGTAATAAGGGGGATTTGTGAAAGCATGCATGAACTACTTCACTGTGATCAGCTGATCTTAAACCATTTCTTTAAGATGTTTCTCTGAAAGCAGCATATACATATACCTGAGCGCCTTTGTTGTATTTTATTATTTTAAAAAGGTAAGAAGACAAGAATCTGAGTCTGAATCTCCTAGTGGGCATTCTCAAAATGAATTAGTGACTCCCAAGCCAGATATATCATCAGAAGGAAAACCAAGGAAACATGCTTTACCTGCTCCAGGAGAAAAATGGAAACCGCAGGTAAAACAGACCTTACACTGGATTCCGTGTAAACCAGACAAATCTTTCTGAATGATATCCAACATGCATCTTGGTTACTAGAACTTTTAGAATCAAGAGTGGAAAAAAATTATGTACTTTCCTCCTGCAGAAACCATCCAAAAGCAGTGGGAAGAAGAGTCAGATACCTGTGCAGCTTGATTTGGGGAATATGCTGGCTGCTTTGGAGCAAAAGCAATGTGCGGAAAAATCAAAACAGTCAAAACCTGTGGTTCTTTCAGGTATATGTTTTTCTCTTATGTTTCAACATTGGTATCTGCTAAAGTAGCAAATGTTGACTCATTGAGTATAGTTCACATTGCGTCATCCCAAAAGAAGCTGCCTTTGTACAGTAAAATGAGAAATGCTTTCTATTCCCAGAAACAGGTGGGAATTTTAAAGATACTCTAGGAGAGATTAATGGAAGTACAATGTTTTCTGTCATACTTTTTCTCAGGTGGTGATGATCTTTATTTATGATGCTCAAGGATAGGGTTTTTTTTAAATGCAGAAGATGAATGCATTGTTGAAGTTAATGGCCACAAATGCTTAGTACTTGTCAGATTTCTCTGTGGATATTTTGCAAACTTGAGTCTGGTCTGGGATCAATATCAAATTACACAGATTTCAATTAAATTTTGAAAGCATAGCATTAATTCTTTAGCATCAAAATCCAATCAAGCACTGCATTGTTAATGTTAAATTGAAAAATGCTATCTTAAATTATAGTGCTACAAATTCATTACTGTTGCTTTTCTAAAGTAACTAGGAAGGATATGTTTCTGTGTTCACAGAACTATATTACTACCATAATACAAAAACTGTCAAAAGATAAAATGGAATCATATGGAGGGTGTAGCAGCTGTTAAATCTGCAAGAGCTTTTTGGAACCACTTTTAATGTGTTTTGCACAGTGTCCACAATAAATCATGTCAAGCTCTGTTCATATATCTGAAATGCAACCTAGTTTCATAGTGACACACATCCTTACTGCAATAAAGTGAGAAAATAGTGCTTTTTAAGTGCTATTTCCATACCGTGTAACAACAAAACTCGTTTGCTTGTGATAAGTCATGTCAAGAATGAAGAATAAGCTTATCCTAAAATGGCAACACAGAATCTGCATGATGTGCAAAAACAATCCCAAGAGAATGTGATAGCGTTACCCAGAAGGAGCTGTGCCAGTTGTTGAACTAATTATATAGATTGGAACTAAGTCTTTTGTTTAAAAATTGAGTAGAAGTACTCCATACATATCAGTAATGAAGTAGTTTGCAAAACCTGACATGTTTACAGTAATGGTGAATGGTATATTTTATAATGCATTCTTGGGCTTTGGTGTCATTTATGTGTGGAGCTCAGTGTCATATGCAAGTTATACTTCTGCTACAGAATACATTTGTTCAGAAGTAAGTTTTGCTTCCAGATGAGTAAAGATGGCAGACCTACTTACCTGATAGCAGGCTTCTGTTTGTTTCAGTTGGTGGTGCAGTAACACTGCTTTCAAAGGAATCTATGACGGTAACAAAAAGTCAACAGTTAAACCAAGGGAAGGTTCCACATAACCCTTTGGATTCCAGTGCTCCCTTGGTCAAGAAAGGAAAGCAGAGAGAAGTCCCTAAGGCAAAGAAGCCAACAGCACTCAGAAAGGTATATCAGTCTCTAACTCTTTCAAAGTCTATTTTTAAAAGTAGACCATTTACCTCGCCAGTATTTCTTCCTTTAGATTGGTGTCTTGCTACTACTTTATTTTAAATGTCTTTAAATATTTCTTTCATTACCCAAATAAAATGCATAAATTAGTGTTCCAAAGTATCATACTTAACTAAAGCCTCCTTCCCTTTCTTGTTTGCTTGTTTGTTTGTTAAAAAGCATACATGTGTATGAGTGAGAGTGTATGTGGATGGAGAGCAGGAAATTATAGCTAAAGGAAATGTATGTTAAGTACTAATACATTAGATGGCATAATCTAGCAAATCCTGAAGAAGATTGAGTGGATTTCATTTGAATTTAATCCACTCCTGAAGCCCAAAGATTATTTGAAAAACTACCTTGGAATAAACAGCATTACTGTGTGAACAACCTTTACGTTGCCATGAGAAGCATGTTACTCTTAAGGAGAAGAAGCATCAATAGAATTTTCTTTAAAGGTCTCTGTCCTTTCACTGACTTGAAGCAAGGGGTGCAATTTGCAAAAGTCCACTTATCAGTGGTGTGTAGCAATTGTCCCCAGATAAGCATCTTAAATCATTTGGAATTCCCACAACTTGAAATTCATCCACTCCTCCTACAAGAAATTCAAACAATGAGGGCTTTAAAGCAATTAGATTTATGCCATCCAAACTTTCAATGATGAACTTAATTTGGCAAAATGATATTACATCCAAGTGTTTTCTTTTAAAGATTATTTTGAAAGAAAGAGAACAGCGGAAACAGCAGCACCTTTTAGAACAGACGGCAAAACCACAGGATGATGCTGTTCAACAAGGGGCCGAAACTACTTCTGAGGTAGTGTCAGAAGACAGCAAAGCAGGTATAGTTGGAATCAGGATACTCTTGATTTCCAGCCTTGGTTACGGAATGCCTTTTAGAAAAAAATGCTACTGAGGAGCTATTGCACTAGCGCTTATTGAGATAGAGTTGTCACACCGTGTGAGCCTGGGTTTAAATGTGCCTTGCACCTACAGCATTGGGTGCAAGCAGAAACATAGCTTTGGTGAAATTGCATATGAAGCTTTGGCATGGCACAGGGTTGGATCCAGTAATTAGAGATGAGTTACTGACCATTTCTCCTCTCCAGCTTGGCTGCTGAGGGCAATGGGGCAGATCATGGCATGCATTTGAGTGCATGGGCTGCTTCCACCACCTGGGCTGTTGCAGGCAGACCCCCACTGTTGGGGTGTAGGGTCCTACAAGCCTCTGTTCCTCCCAGGATGGATCCAGTGGAATGGCTCCAACATCACCACCCAAGACTCAGTGTACAAAGATCAAAGCTACATGTAGGGCTCTTTTAATTGCCTCAGGAATGACTAGAGAGCAAAATTTGCCTTTTTGGAGTAGATCTGAAAAGGACATTCCCTGGAGCCAGTTCTCAGCCCTGACCGCCCATATGGTACTGTTGTAGAGTGGCACAGTATTCTGGGACAGCTAGGAGGTTAATCATAGCTGGGGATCGGAAAGTATAGTATGATTACCAATTGTGTGATTGGTATGGAAAAGTTTGGATTATTGCCGTTAATGGTAAATTAACCTGTGATATTAAAGGGAGAAAAGAGCATATAAAGAAAAATATCTTTAATGAGATTTGGGGTGTATTTATTGAGGATGTGCTTTAAAAAGGGAAAGGATTTTAATCATCAAAAGAATCATTGCAGTTTTGGAAGGGGAAAACGTCCTGAAGAATGTTTGAACATGTACCCTATGGTCCAGGTGGGTGGGTGGGTGCAGTAATTTTAAGAATTTCTTAATTGTATGTTTTTATTTTAGATGTAAGGAGTTTTTAATTGTATTTTAGATTGAAAGTTAGAGACAAACAGAGACGACTGCTTTCTTATTAAGTCACCTTTGTGACTTCTGAGTATTTTTTGTATTGCAGGAAATCAGAGTCAGGGAACAAATGACAGTTAGTTCACCATCAAAGGTGGCCATGGTCAGTGTCATCCTAGTTTGTTTCTGGGACTGTCATCAGATCAGATTTTTCATTGTGCAAGGGCATTGACTAGTGCGTTCTAGGAGCATAGAAAGGAAAACCAAATTGGTTGTTTTTCTAACATGCATCTTAAAGAGCACTAGATTAGCTATAAGGTTCTTTCCCCATACTATGATATCTCTTCTTTAGCACTGTCAGGTCATGTGTCATTGGAAAGGTAGGGCTTTGATTATTCTCTACCAATTATTATAGATTAACTGAGTGCAGTCTTACTTGGGACTAGGATTGAATTTCCCTTTGAAAATGCGATTGTTTGAAATGAAGAGAGCTGCTGAATTGCATGACATGTTATTCTGCCCTTTCCAGTTCAGGTGTTGTGTTTTTTTTTTTTTTGGAGGGATACTGTATTTATTTGCTCCACCTACCCATTGAAGGCACTGAAGTCTCACTATCATCAGAGATATCCTGTGTCCCTTTATTTTTATCCTTTTTTTATTTATTGAGCTACACTGTGTGATTATTGGTTGTAAGATTTAATATACATTTCAGATCCCTGTGGTTTAAATCAATAAAAAACCCATTTATTCTTAGAGGAACTATCCAGTTTGACTAGGTCACAGACTCATTCTTTGCTTACTGTTAGAACTGGATTTCCGACATTCTAAAGTTCTGCTGCCTGCTTTAAACTCACAAGTGATACATATGGAGGGCATCAATTCTGCAGGATAGTGGCTATATGTTTTTAATTTAAAACCTTGTAAAAAGTTATATTCTTTAGACTTAAAGATTGCTTAAATATATGTAAATGGATGCAGCTGAAAACAGATGGTGTTCTCCCTTTTGCAGTCTCCTTACATATGTGCTCTGAATTAGGGCTACTTCAACCATTTCTTTTAATTAGCGGGACTGAAGAACCATGTGGTGAAGACTTCATTTGAATATTTGAGTGGTTCATAACACGTTAATGTCATGTTTGTTTCACTTTGAGTTCAAGCAGAAACATGTTGATAGGCATAATATGAATCTGAACCTCCTGGTCAATAAAAAAAATAATAACCTCTTCTTTGTATCCGACTTAACTTTCCATTTAGATAGTACAGAGGAATACCCGATAGATCCTCTCACTCAGGGTAGTTCACAAGTACCCTTGAAATGTACAGAAGAGCATGGTCCCACAGAAAACGCACTTGTTCAAACACGGCCGAATTCCAGCCTTCCCAAAATTCACAGTCGAAGATTCAGAGAGTAAGCATATTTTGATGTCAATCACTCCATGTCAGTTTACCATTCCTGCTTTTGAGTTCATAGTTCTTGAAGTGGAATGCTAGTTAGGAGGCATTGAAAGTCTTCCAAACCAGTATGTTCTATAGCAGCTAGATGGTATGCATATGTAATCAGAAAACATGCATTTTAAAATAAGAACATGAATATTTAAACTGGTTATTTTGCGGGTGATTTAAATAATAATAATTGTTAGAGGTGGGGGAAACAAATGAATTCTTATTGGGATTAGGAGGGAAAGATAGATATCCTTTCTCCTGTTTCAGTCAAGATAATTTGAAGTCCTATTGGAGCTTGAACATTCTTGATAAATGTGGCCTTCTTATGAAGGCCAGTTTAATGCTTCATGTGCCTTTGCCTCAGACATCCCTATTACAGATAGCCAAGCTTTAAATGACACGTTTAAAATATTATCTTTGTTCTTTTCTCTAGCTAGCAAGATGAAATTCTTCTGAATCATATCAGTTTTCAGTTTGAATGTGCTTTTCTAAAGTATTTTTGTTTTGAGTTTTAACTTATACATGGTTTTCTAAACCTTGAAACAGTAAACATTTTAATTTGCTACTGACATGGTCTGCTAGTTTGTTTCTATTTATCTTTGCTTAAAGTAGCTTTAAAAGATCGGGCGGGGGGGGGATCAGGCATTTGTCATAACACTAAAATAATTGCTTCTTTCTTTAGTTACTGTACCCAGGTACTTAGTAAAGAAGTTGACAGCTGCGTAACAGATCTCTTGAAAGAGTTGGTTCGCTTCCAGGACCGCCTGTATCAGAAAGACCCTGTCAAGGCCAAGACGAAACGCAGGCTTGTTATGGGGCTCAGAGAAGTGTTGAAACACTTAAAGCTGAAAAAGTTGAAATGTGTCATCATTTCCCCAAATTGTGAAAAGATTCAGTCAAAAGGTACGGCTTGGTATTAAAATATATCTGACTAAAGTGCACACAGATCAGATTGGTGATGGTGGGGAATGAGAGGTGCCTTGCAGGACTGGCATCCAATTAATCTAGAACAAGGAGCAGCTTCCTTCAGCAAAGCGGTCCAGTTGGCATGTCTCACTCTCCTTTGTGCTTTGCCTCAGGTGGGTTGGATGAGACTCTGCATCTCATCATCGATTCTGCTTGTGAACAGAACATCCCGTTTGTTTTTGCCCTCAGTCGCAAAGCTCTCGGGCACTGTGTGAACAAAGCAGTGCCTGTCAGTGTGGTGGGAATTTTCAGCTATGATGGTGCTCAGGTGAGTTGTACTAAGTTTGTTGTTTCACCTTCTGCAATACACCTTTGGATTCCATAAAAAGCTTTAAGACACTGACTGCTGTCAGGACTCTTCTCAGATGTTAAGTAGATTATTCACTGTCTGAGAGATCTGTACCTTTAACTTTATGCTGGAAAAACTGCCTAATTCATTTCTATATTTTTTATATTCACACAAATGCATTTTACTTCATCTAGAATTACACAGGTAGGTCATCAAGTCCACTTCCTATCCCAAGGTAGGAATCTACGCACACGCTGTCCCTCTAGTCACATAATCAGACCAGATTGTGCTGTAGCTGTGGGCCGGATGAGCTGTGTCAAGCTGCTGGACAAATCCAGCAACTAAGCCAAATCGTGCATGTCACACTCTCGCACCACCTGCAGTCCATTGCTAGTCAGTTTAATCTGGTCCAAATACTGCAGCGAAACAGAATAAAACTGTTTACATAAAGTGCACATTAATTTGAATATCAGCCTTCCAGCTTGACGTTGAAACCTCATTGCCTTCCCCCCTTCCCTCCTTTTAAACTAGTTGTACTGTTATGTCTCTGTGCTGGGCAAAATACTTTTAGAAAACTGTATGATTGAGTTGCCTCAAGGCCAGGGCTCTTCAATTCCTGCCCTGCATCTCTTTTTTCCATCTCCAGTAGCATTAGTGGGTGTGGGCATATTAACATCCATCTTCTTCTATTAGTCAGTGTAATGCCTGGTTCAGATTGTCAGGGTGCCAAATTCTGTAGCTTAACCATGAGTACCGTTATGTGAAGATTTACAGTGATGAGTACAGCAAGTTGACATAACCTCTTGTCAATAAGGTCCTATTTATAGATGAATCTGGAAACTTAGTGGCTTTAGAACTGACAGGTTAGGCTGTATATCTGGAACAAGAAATAAGCACGTTGGTCTTAATGGATCTATGAAGTTGTAAGTTGTTGCTAAAGTAGTTGACACAAGCACAGTTTATTTTTATTTTATTATATTTTACCTATACCATTATGTTGTCAGCTACACAGATATGTGGAAAAATATTAATATGAGCTAGCAGTTTACATAAGGATAACCAGAGCAGTTTTTATAAAGCCACAGAAGCTGTAAATATGCCAATCTCTGAATCACAGCAATTGCTTAGTACTGTCTCAGTCTGGGCATTATGATTCTTTCTGTGCTGCATAGTTGCCAAAATGCAGGGCTGGCAGCTTGATTCTAAGTGTATTTTATCATTTTGTAAGATTGTATGTTTCTACTATTTTGAGATTTTGTTTCTATTGCTTCTTCCTTTTTGTTTGTTGCTGCCCCCCTTCATTCCTTCATGTGCTTTCCATTTCCACTTGAAATAGGAACCTAGTAGTAGGGAACCTAAACAGAAAGACTTGGCTGAGGTTGGTGGGTCTAATAGGAGCTTGAGTGCAACATCTGGAAGAACATGGATTCCACACCACTGACCTACACCAATCCCATGACTAAGCATTTGCACCATAATGTAGAAATATAATATTAGATTCAGTGTGGATCTGGAAAAACTTGATGGCCCTTCCTATTTGAGCAGAGCCTTGAACCTGAAAAGTTGGATAGCATGCCATTTAAGTACCTCTTCAAATAAGGCAAAGTTACTTTTGTTCAGTGAGTAAGACTGACAAATGATCCTCAACATTCTGCAGGTGGATTCCCTTAATAACCGTTTTGGCATCTCTGACTCAAGTTTGAGTGTTTGTAGTAAATGAAATAGAAGCAGACATTATCTTTTTGTATTTTGATAAGAATGTGCCAGAAGGTTTACTAAACTTACTAAACACCAATCCAAAACTGTCTTATATGTTTTTACTTCCTTCCAGTTGGGCAGTATTCAACCTGTTCTGGCTGGGGTTGCACTCCAGCTAAAAGACAAGGTCCGCAGTTTGGGGGTGCTCCTGAATCCGAAAGTGTCAGTTGAGTCCCAGATGAATGCAGTGGCATGGAGCACCTTTTCTCAGCCTAGTGCAGCCCTATCTGGGTATACAGAGTCTAGCTACAGTCATCCATGCTCCAGTGACCTCCCATTTGCAGTACTGCAATACAATGTACATGGGGCTGCCGTTGGAAACTGTCCGGAGGCTTCAGTTGATTCAAAACAAGCCAGCAAGGTTGTTAACAGGGAGTGACTTACGAGAACATATTACACCCGTCCTCTTTTATCTGCACTGGCTCCCAGTTGAAATCTGGGCCCAATTCAGAGAGCTAGTATTAACATTTAAAGCCCAAAATGGCTTGGGGCCGAGCTCTCTGAAAGAATGCCTCATCCCTCATGTACCTACCCGTGCCATAAGGTTTCTGGGGTCCTTCTCCAGGAACCCTCTTCAAAGGAAGTAAAGAGGGTGACTACCAGGGGAAGGGTTTTTCAGTTGTGGCACCCCGGCTATGGAATGAGCTCCCCAAAGAGGTGTGCATGGCACCTACTCTCTATTCGTTTCGGCACCAAGTAAAACCCTTTTTATTTTCCCAGTATTTTAGCAGTTAACTTTTTAATTCTTAATTTTAATGCTGCATTTTATTCTGCACTGCTGCTATACCTCTGCATCGATGTCACTGCAATTGCTGTGGTTTATTGCTTTATCATTCATTCATACATTGTCTCTATCTTTTTTGTTTATATATTTTAACTTTTGTTTAACTGTCCAGAGAGCCTTTGGCTATTGGTGGTATAAAAATGAAGCAAACAAATAAATACATTTACACCCTAGGACTATTTTCACAAAATGGTGGAGCTGACAATGGAAGCAAGAAAGGCCTATAAGGACATGATAGCTGCTTTGGAAAGAGAGCCAACTAAAGAAGAAAATGGGAGTGACTGTGTACCTGCAAAAGCCCACTGTGGAGCGAACAGTCCCGTAGCTACTGGCGATGCGCCTCTTCCAGAACATGATGAGGATGTCCCAGATTACAGTGAGTTTCAGGGTGATGCTTAGAGATGTATGGGGGCAGGCTTGTGTTAACCCGTGTTTTTTCCCATCTGCAGTCTGTGCTTCAGAGTTCATCCATTTGGACCGCATACGCAAGAGCCAAGGCTCTTTGGCTGGGCGACAGGCAGTTCTCTACAGTTCTTAGGAGAGACCTGTGATATTCGGCCATAAAGGGAAAGTGTATGTGCCAGGGAAAGGATGCTGCCCATTGCTTTGTTCATCTTCATTACGATAGGGTGTGGGGTTGGGGACTGACATCATGGTGAGCACTAGGTCTGAAGAGCCTGTCACCTGCTGCCTTTCAGATCCACCTCTTGGTACTGACTTCACTAAATATGCCAGGATTCCCCCAAATAACTTCTTTGTCCAGACTGCCCCAGCTGGAAAGCACTGCCATTTCAGTCTTAATTTTCTCCACAGAAACCAAGAGGGGGGTATTTTACTGTGGTAACTAGTCAGGAGAAGCATTGATGGGGTCCAGAACAGCAACCACCATCCTTATTCAGTGGGCCCTAAGAACATTTTGTGAGCAAGTCACACTTCTTCTAGAGCAGGAGGAATCCTGCACTGATCTTCCCTAACTTGTGCAGATGTACTCAGCCACTTAGGAGCTGGGTAAACACGGGCAGAAGAGACCTGCTGGTCATGACACAGTAGCACATAGTTCAAAAGGGTTGTTCCTTTCTCTTTCCATGTTAGGAGACTGATCATCTGAAGTTTTCAGTGCTAATTGAGTCATTTTCTCTTGTACTTTAGCTGCTAGTAAATGATACAAACAGCAGAGCTTTGCAGGAAACATACACTAGCTTTCTTACATAGCCTTAGAAAAGAAGAATTCAAAGCAATACTTTATTAAACATTTGTTAACAAAGTAAACCTTTTAATAAATGGAAGTTCTTTACTTCACTTCCAATAATTTAGCCCAGTTATAGTGACTAGATCATCTTCAGTTTCCTGCATGCAGAAACTGTCCTTGTACCTTGGAATGGTTCAGTGTCTTGGGATCTCAGTGCATGATAAGCAGTTCTGAGATTTCAGGTGGCTGATTGGGTAAATTTTTTTGCTCTCTGTATGTATAGTATTCTCAAGTTTATGGTGCACAATGCATTGCATCCCCATCCTTGAAAACATTACAGTTGGCAGTTGTCCCTGTGTTTATTGTTTTGAGGAATTAATCTTTTGTACTGTTTTTTTCTAGTTAAAATCTGGAAGCGGAAGCTTGAAGAGGAGTACAACCCTTACATGCTGGAGCTGGAAAAACAAGCAACTACTGAAATGTTGACCTTGAGTTATGAGGAGCCTCAGTAAATCAAGACCACCTTCTTTGGCCTTACTGGATTTTTTTTTTTATTTGATATAGATATGTATATACTAAATTATCTAAAAGTAATTATCTGGAAAATAGGGATATAAGAAGTTGTTAAAATTGACTGATTGTATTTAACAAATCATTACACTGGATCACATAATTTGGGACTATTTTCCAACAGCTGTCTGCTTGCCTAAGCGATGAAACTTTTTCCGCAGCATTCCATCAAAGGATGTGCTTTAGGGAGGCAGAAGTGGTTTGTTAACCTTTGAAATTCCAGGCAGAAGCCAGGCATCTGTCAACCTCCAGCAGGCTTTCTAAGACTGTTCACTGGTGATTAAGCTCATAAAGTTGTCAAATGTCTCTCCTTCTGAAGCCTGATCCGCTGAAGCTGCTGATCTGTCCTGGTGGAATAGAGGAACAGCAGAATGCAGGAACTGAGCCCAGCCTATTTATATGTTCAGTTAGAATTAGAAAAGTCAGCCTGAACCTAATGGAATTCTTCTTCTCTTGATTCAGTGTAAACACAAGGCCTCCAAATTACGGAAGAATTCATTTCATATATGCAAGCCACTGAATTTGGGTTTATATGCATCCCACAAGAGTGGCTCTTCTTTTCTCTCTGACTGACTGCACATTCATGCTGAGAGAAATTACTGTGAAGCAGAAGGGCAGGTGGAACGGGAGAAACAAGGGCTATTCCTATGGACACAGCTGCATTTCCCATCTGCTGTGCTTAAAGGAATAACTAGCTGTCTCTTTGCACATCTTCTTTGCCCCCAGCATTTCTTGATAGCTAGAGCTCTAGCATCAAATGTATAATTATAGTACACACACACAGTGAACTGATTTACACGGCACCACAGCCCACTATGGGTTAATTTGGATTGTGGAGGCTGTTGTGTTGTGGTGGGCTGGCTGTCTCTTTGAAGGTGAAATGTCCACTGCCACCTGGGTTCACCTGCTGGGCGAACCATGATAAGCCAGGTGCCTGTCAGCCCCATGCACAAATGGCGCCCAGCACGACCCAGTGGAAGTTGCAGGTTTCATATTAGCAGCACTGAGCTCCAACAAAGAAATTGAAGATCAAAGTGTAGTACTTGATAGGCTGCAGCTGTCACCAGGGCGACTTGGTATGTGGATCAACTGTTATGCACAGGCTTATGGCATGCATCAGGTGTGTGTGCCCAAGAGTCATCGTGACTATTTCTGTCGCCCTTCTCCTGCTGAGTAAAGGCTGCTGGCTGGTATTCCTAGGTAAAGAAGCGTGGGGGGGG